CCCCCCCCAATCTAATCCTCATGTTTTAAACATATGTCGCTAATAAGCCCAGAACGAATGACAAAACCAGAATGAATGTAGATGAGGCTCTCATGCCGACCGGCCCTTTGAACATCTGTGGTGCAACACGTTGCAGACGCCGGCGGAGTTAATGACACGGCGAGCTGGGAGGAGAGAGAGGAATAATAAAGAACTGAACGTCATCTGCTCTGGTTTTTACGAAGCCCAGTGTGACAGTTTATCACACACGATACGGTGGATAAACAGAACGCCCACCGTCCGCACCGCTCACCTCTCCCTGCAGCCACCACCGCGTCTCATGATCTATAGTTAGCATTCAACCGGGGCCCTCAACCTTTTCTGTTTTACTGCTCCCCAAAGAAAGTGATGTCTTCTTCGTACGGCCCCTCGCTGCAGCTGTTAAAATGCACAACGGTGAACTCTGACAGCTCCTGATGATTTTATGTCTGAGCTGTTTTGGATGATTCATTGTTGGAAGGAGACCAGAGGGTGCAATGGTTTCACATGGGAGAGCAAATATTTAACCCGGGGTGAAAAGCTGGTGAGCAGCGTGGACGTGGGTGTCCTCAGGAACGCTCGAGGAAATCTATCAATTATTACTGTCTCCTTAAATCTAATCAAACTGCTCTAAATCACACTCACGTCGATAAATGTGCCTGAGTTTTTGAATCAATATCCGTTAATTATTCCCTGAGAAATCACAGAAAATGTCAAAGTAACAATTTCCCAATAGAAGTAAAAACCTTGATCTGGATTAATGTCAATTCACATTCACCACGTACTCGTTTTATTATTCAAATCATTTCTCTGTTGCTGTTGAATTACGACCAAGGTTGAGTCATGGAGCCAAGTAAACATCATTTGGAGAAAGTTACAAACATCTCTGTGATTTCACTCTGGTGAGAGGACACGTCGATGGTTAAGTGAGACGAGACAAGGTTTAATAAATTTGTCCCCATAACATCTAATGGTTTGCAGCCATTTTGTCATTGCAGACTGATATACTTGTTAAAGTCTGTACGGCTCATCTGCCACGATGCTTCAGGTAAAGACAACAAATATACAACACGTCGTCCGTCTCCAGAAAAACTTCATTCCTTCCCGCAAAAAATGACAAGAACCTACAGCTGTCAGATAAATAAATCTACGAGAGTGTGAAAGTTTGTGCGGCTTGCTTGGTTTTCAGGAGACCGCTGGACCTTGGCGGAGGAATCTCGCTCAACGGTCCTCTGGGTGAAAATGTCCCCACAGTGAAAGTCTTTCTCATCTGTGTTGACAGTGTGAAGAAGCTGCTGACGGACGCCCTGAACAAGAACCAGTACCTGAAGAGGCTGGAGCTGCAGCAGGTCAAAGACATGGTGGAGTGTATGTATGAGCGCACCTACCAGCAGGGGGAGTACGTCATCACGCAGGGAGAACACGGGAACCATCTGTTCGTCCTGGCAGGTTGGTTCACTCCCGTTTCAATTCAATTTCCACGAGATCCGACTGTTTCTCCACAGCCGCTGATGACGACCCGTCAGATCCACCAGGTAGTGGTCACACATCACATGACAGCTTGTGTCCAATGAGAAGCAAACGTGAAGAAGCCAACGGGCCGGAGCAGGTGATGACATCCACCTGGATGAATCAGTGGGCGGAGTCTTGTGTGGTATTCATATTTGTAAGAGTGGTGGGTGGAGCCTGACTGTCTCAAAGACACAGCACGCCCACCGGCGGCCATTGTACGGTACTAGATGTCAATCACACAATATCCACGCCGCCAATGAAGCAGTGCATTATGGTCTATTTGACTCTAAATGGATCATGATGTAAAAATAAACATCAGGTTTGTTGAGGAAGACTTGAAACTAGAGATCGAGACATAAACTCCTCGTTTACTGACGTTATAAAGTGGAATCGTTTTCTCACAGACTTCTTTAAAAAACAGTGGAGTCGCCCTCTGCAGGTTGTTTCAGGCACTTCTGCATTGGCTTCATTTTCTGAACCTGGCCCGTGTTTATTAAAAGTTTGAGTTATTCCAGCTTCACACAGTTTTACATTAAATCAAGACTTTGACTCACAGAGAAACATCTTGTCTGGGTCCTGGTTTTTAAAGATCTTCAGAGAGTCCACTGAGTGTTTATGATTTTGAGTGGACTCTCAGAAACCAGGCCTTTGGCTGATATCGGCAAAAACTGCTGATGAACCTGACGACTGTGTTCTTAGCATAAAGTGCGAGTTCTTTCCAAACGGTGCAGCGTTCGTGTGGCTCCACTGTGAGTGACCAGTGTTTGCTGACTGCGAGGGTAGAGAGTTAAAAATCGGAAACTGGCAGAAAACTCATCGGAACTTGCCACATCGGCCTGCGGTGTTTCAAACTGACTATTTCTGGATTCTCAGTCTTTGCCCTATTGTGCAGCCTGTCTGACCACGAGCCAATCAAATCAGAGTGAACCAGCGTTTGATTGGTCGTACTTCTCCGCACAGATTATTGGATCTAAACCTTTGAAAGGTTAACTAGCTTCATGTTATTCTTTGTAAAATGTAGATTTGAAGGATGTTGGCCTGTTGAGCGTCTTGTTGGCAAAGCAGTGTGAATTCCTCTGGTTCACCAGGACGGACGTGGTCGGAGAGTGAAGTTAATTTTGGACGCTGATGTGATTATACATCCAGACACAGTGTTGTGAAGTAAATGGAACTGAAGAAACAATACCCCTCTTATTTCAATCTTTACTGTTTTTCCCTTCACCTCTAATTTTATTGATTGCTTTTATATTCAGGGAGTAATTGAAAGTTTCTGAAATTCGTTTTGCTGTTTACTTAAGAAAGAAAGAAAGAAAACACGTCAGGTTGATAGAATGAGTGATGTAGTATCATAATAATAATATGTAAAGATATTAGGTTAGTACCGTCGCCTCACAACAACAAGGTTCTTGGTTCGAATCCCTGCTCAGTAGTCGTCTCTTTGCGTTGAGTTTTTTTGCAGCTTCATCCCTCAGTCCGCAAAGTCAATACAATTTAAAGTCAAAATGTAAAATCACTACAAAAAGAGGTAAAGTCAGAATTTGAGTTATATGGTCACATTTTCTTGAACTGCGAAAAACGATGTCCTAACTCCAGCTGAAGCTCAAACAAACGTTTGACCTCCGAGGATCATTCACATGTGACATAATGATGCCGATGTTGGTGATCGTGGGCTCGTTTAATCAAGTTCTTTTATTTCTTGTTAACTTGTTTTATTTCCCTAAAAATACATGTTGTGTTCATGTTGTAGGAGGATACAGATGGAAGGACGGAGGAGGACGAGACTGGATTCATTCTGTTGTCTTATATAAAAGATTTGAGTTTTTTAAAGTCACCACGTATATTGTATAAATAACCAGGGACTCGTCCGGTCTTGAATGAACTGAGTGTTATTTAAACGTCATTGGATTCCGTCTGTGACACGCGTCTGTTTGTCTCTTGTGTGTTTTTGTCTCTGTCCTAAATGTAGGTTAAAAAACAACAACTATTGATTGTCCTCGTTTTATATTTACAGACGGGAAGCTGGACGTGTTTCAGCACAACAAGCTGCTCACATCGATAACGGTGTGGACCACTTTCGGGGAATTAGCCATCCTGTACAACTGCACACGGACGGCATCGGTGCGAGGTAACGACGTTTACGCTGTGAAGACGTAAACTCAAGTTCTCTTGAGTCTTTTTCACACGTTCAGACCTGACGCAGGGACATTACAACTGTGTGTGTGTGTGTGTGTGTGTGTGTGTGTGTGAATGCAAATGTCCAAATCAGATGAACCAGACATCGAGTGAGACAGAAGCAACAATTAGATATGAAACAGGTGGAATTGTGGGAATTCAGTGAACTATTCTTCGTTCTGCTGGTGGGAAAAGATGATGGTAAAAGATACTGAAGTGGTATTTTCCTCTCAACCTTCAATGTCTCTTGACTCTAATCTGAAAGTTCTCTGACCTTCGTCGGAGTTGGAGCGACTCCTCGAGGATTCACCCGACTGTGGCAGCGGGGGAGTCAGATAAATCACAAGTAAACAAGCATTTGCATGTGGTGTGTTTACAAAGGCTTTACGTGACATCCACAGCTCTGCGTTCTGATTGGTTTTCACCTCCTTGGCATTTAGAGCGCGCACAGCGAACGCTCTGTGAGCGCTCTTTGTCCCGGTTTGTATATTTAACCAAGTTACTGACTGGTGGTCCTCGGGGGAGGGTCACCGTGTGCTTGACCTCAATATTAAGGGTGAACTGGAAACACGGTGACAGTTTGACAAGTCTCTCTGAGAGTTTTACACGATAACAGATGAAGTGGATACAGGGCCAGCTCTGTCTTTGCTACCGGTTTGTGTCAGGCCCTCACAGACACTTCCTCCTGGTGCCGACAGAGGCCCGTCTCCGAGCTTCTGTAGATCTGAGTCATCAGGACGCAGGAAAAGATCACTGTGTTGCTTTTCTCACCTATTTCGTCCGTTCGTTAAAACAACACATTCCTCTGATGGAGAGATTTAATGAAACGAGAACGTGTGAAGACAGATGAGGACGGAGAAAAGAGACTGTGACTCATCCCTTCACGGTTAATGTTGAGTGTCCTCTAATCAGGGGGGCGGGGCATGAAAGGTCAGAATCTGGACCACGTCTCCGGTAATGTGACGTTTATTTTACAGCCGTGAACAAAGTGCGGACGTGGGCTTTGGATCGGGAGGTGTTCCAGAACATCATGAGGAGGACGGCGGAGACGCGACAAGAGCAGCACCGCAACTTCCTCCGAAGGTCAGAACCCAAGTTGTCAAAGCATCAGCTTACTGATATGATTCTCGTTGATCGATGACGTGCGACAACTTTGCTGATAAAAGGATCCAACACACAAGAGAATGACACGTACACTTCTGCTGCCTGATGTTCTCGACAGCCAATTAGGAACAAATATCTTTTAGAGGAAGTAAATATGGTTCAAAAACACTTAGTCCGGATGAAACAAGCTAATGTCCAAATAGAATTAGGTTCAGTTCACCTAGCAGGAAGTCGTAAAGCAGCGTAAAGAGCGAGAGCAGATGCCGACCAATCACAACAGAGTGGCTCAGCTGGCCAATCAGAGCAGAGGTTTTGTATTTATAATAAAGTTTATGGTTTTAAATTTAACATCTTGGGAATAACTGACGTTAAAAACGTCCCTGCCATCATGTTTGTGGTCATTTGAACCGAATCGAAAATGAACGTTCATCATCTGTGTTTTTTCCGTCAGTGTTTCACTCTTGGCCAATCTACCGGAGGACAAGCTCAGCAAAATCGTGGACTGCCTGGAGGTGGTAAGTTATTCTGTCAGACTTGTCTTATGATTCTACTGGAGGGACAATTTGACTTTTCATTGTATTGCACAACTCTCTGGCAGCTCCCGCGAGCCCCGGCACTGCAGATAGCTGCTGTCAAAATATCATTACCATTTGGCCATATACCATTACTGCATGTCAGCATATTCTGTCCACCTCCAGTCGGCAAGACCTCACAAATTACCTTGTTGATGAACAGAGCCGGTGTTATTCCTGTCATCGCCGGGCGCTGTATATTGTTACCATAATTATTTGACCAAGGCCCCAGAAAGTGTTTATTCAAATGGAGGGGGGGGGGGTGATTTCTAAAAGATGTGCGAGTGACAGGCTTTTGGTGTGAGAACACACAAGTGTGTGAGGGGGAATGTGTGCACAAGTGCATGTGTTGAAACGTGCAGGAGAAGGGCTCGCTTCATTTCTCCTGCGTGAGCGTTGCATTTCAACAGCGAGAGGGAAAACTGAGCAGAGTCAAAAAAAAAAAAACAGCTTTTCTCAGCGTCTTCTCACAATGAAAACTTCAAGGTCGTTCCCTGCGATCGCTGCTCGTCCTGCTCATTTCCTCCTCTAGTGGAGAATTTCCTTATTCAGTCATTTCCAATGGAGCTGGGTGTGGGGTGTGGGGGGGATGTGGGGGGGGCTGTAACCTAATAGTGGTGCAGATGTTCGTTGAGAACTCGCCAGATAATATTGAAGCTTCTTGTCAAACAGTGGGGGAATGGAATGTGTGTGTTTGCATCTGTGTGTGTGTGTGTGTGTGTGTGTGTGTGTGTGTGTGTGTGTGTGTGTGTGAGTGTTGGGGGGGTGCACCTTCTCTGTCAGGTCGGATCTGCAGATTGGAATTCGAACTGGAAAGATTCAATAGCCAAAAACAACGAACTCTGTCGAAAGTAGAAACACGAAAAAAAAGACTCAAAGTTAATGATATTTTCTTTGTGTTATCCCCGAGAAAAAGAAACACGTAGATACACTCAGCCTCCGTCAGACGAGCAGAATGTGGCGCTCTGCTGCAAGTGCACAAGTCACTGACATTAGAGATGTTCGGTGGCCCTGAGGGGAAATACACCGCCACTTAATACACACAACTAAACACCAGTCTGACAACTCACTGAAATACTCACAACTCACTGAAATACTCACAACACAACAGAAGGGAACACTCACAAAGTGTTGCCAGTATTAGGTTGTGTTGTGAGTATTTGATTGAGTTGTTAGTTGTAGGTTGTGTTTTGAGAATCTGGAAGCATGCAGAGTATTTGGATATATTCCGAGTATCTGATTGTATTGTGAGTATTTGGATGTTTCGAGAGTATCTGCTTGTGTTCTGAATATTCAGATGTGTTCAGGTTATTTGGGTTTAATGTGCGTTTTTGGTTTCGTTGTAAGTATTTGGACGTGTTCAGGGTATTTGGGTGTGTTGTGAGTTTGTGGTTGTCAGCATTTGGATTTGTTGTGAGTATTAGATGCTGCACAATAGAACAGACACACACAGGTTGTGAGAGCAGGATGTGACACTGACTTTTCAGACAACGATTGGTTTGTGTTGTGCGACCGCTTGATGTTAATCATGTACCATAATCGTCCCTTGAAGCAAAACAGAGCAGGTTGATTCTTAGAATAGATAAAATGGTTTGTGTTTGTTCTCTGACGGTGAAGAGTCGTTTAATTTAAGAATCCAAATGTTCACAAGCAGTCGTCCTCTCTTCTTCAAGTCTGTCCGGCAACGTCTTTTCCAAATGTGCTTCCACACGGAAGAGTTGGGAGAGAAAAAAATCCACAATCCTCCTTCCAAGCAAAAAATATCCAGCGAACTTCATCCGACGAGTCCGAGCGAATCAAATCAAAGAAGCAGCCTCCGGAGTCTGTTTGGTTGTTGTCAGGACAGAGTTTCTGTGCCGAGCCATCGTGACGGGACATCGACACAAAGATGAGTTTCATTCTAAAAGGTTGTCATTGTTAGAAGGTGCCCGCTGCAGCTCGACTGCCGAAGCCTCGCATGAACCTCAGATTAACGTTGGAATGTATTTTTATACAGACGACTGTGGATGTGATGTTAAACTAACACTGGAGGCACATTAGAGAGGAGATCTCTGAATGAGCAGTGAACCTGAGGGCACCTGACACTCTGCTGAAGAAACAAACCGCAGACTCACACTTTTACTTTTTCTCACACGAGACGATTTAATGAGACACGAAGAAGATCCTTCGTCAGTTTGCACCGTTAAGATCCAAGTGTTTTCAACGTGTCACCACTTTGTTTAAGACTCAAAGGACCTGGTTTAAGTTTAAGTTGGGAAAGATTAACAATGTTAGAAGACGACTAGTATCTCTGGTGTCCAAACTTAATACCACGCCGTGTCCTGCGCTCCGATTGGCACCGAATTATCTAGATATTCATCGTGCTAGAAACCTCGTTGGAGGAGGCGACGTGTCGGTGAACCTCTCGTCTTTCAGTCGTTCTCTTATAGCGATGATTGCGGATCAAACTTTGATTTGGGGGCAAATATTACATATCGTATCCTTTAAAAAGTGTAAAAACTTACAGAACGTGCTCATATAGAAACAAACCCAATGTCTGACATCCTGTTACACGGACAATGTACGTTTTTTCATACATAAAAATGCAAATGTATTGGCATGTCTGTGTTACTTATGCATTTGACACCTTTTTAAAAATCACTCATGTCAGAAGTGATTTCTCAACAGCTCCTTGAATGCAGCACGGTGCTTTCAAGGAGCTGCAGAAGACTGTGTCGGTCTTAAAAAACAGGTCCGGTCCTTCGTCTTGATTTAATGAAGCCGACAGAGAGAGAGACACGTGCTGTTTGGATCTGTGACTGGTCGATCGACTGTCGCTGCAGATAGGAACGATTGCTGCTAAAGCCAACACACACACACACACACACACACAGACACACACACACACACACACAGACACACACACACACACAGGCAAACCCATTTAGAGCAGATCGATGTCAAAGATAAGGAGAAGGGGATCTCAGGCTTTTTAGCCAAAGCCTCCTCTGTCTTCCCTGAAAAGATAAATGTCTGACCCCAGTTCCGGATCTGCAGCTCGGCAGCTCGGCTTCAACAAACCCGAGACACAATTCAAACGCTGTCGCTCCCCTGCACAGCCTCTGTGTCACCCAGACAGTCTTTATAAACAAAACTGTGGCGTGTTGTCTCCGCTGTCATGGACGGGTGTTAAACCGGCCTCTCCTGAAGCGTAAACGGGACGTAAACAAGCTCGGGCGCTCGAGGAAAATGCCACTTGTGTCAAGAGTTTGGACAGTAAACACCGGGGAATGTTTACGCGTGGTTGCTCTGATTTCTTTGTCTTCCACCACAGTCCTCTGCAGTCCAACGGATTACAGCCGTGAGCGGTTGTCTCAGCTGCGGGAAACCCCGTTCCAGGGAATGCCTCGCCCCGCTCACCTTCACTCTCTGCACTTCTTCCCCTGAACGCTTTAGCTCGCCTCGCTGACTCAGCAGTCTGGCGGCGGCGCTGCGGCGGGGACGGTGTGTCGGGTTTGGTAAATGGACCGAGTTGCAGGGTCGTGTCTTTGAATGAGAGCTGCGAACAGACGGAGGGAACAAACTGTTCCTCTGTGTTTAATTCAGGAATATTTCAAAGTGTCGCTCAGTTTTATGAAGCTCGTAAAACTTGAGCTAAACACTGAAACGATCTCTCTCAGCGGAGCGAGATCTTACTCCTGCAGCAGCTGGACAGAGAGCGACTCGGCCTTCACACGTCTGAGACTACAGCGTCGGTTTATACCAGAGGAACCGATTATTTCTGATTCACGATCCGTCCTAAATCAGGGTAGAAGGCGCTGTATATTTCTCCTGCAGTTATAGCGACGCCTCGGGCTGTGTAACTTATTCTTCCAGGTAAAACTGAAGCAAAGTCCCATTTCAGGGACCGAATCCCTCGGAGGCATCAGTCTACGAAGGTGTCGCCTCCGTGGACCGAGTGAGACGTCTAGACTACAGAGGATTTCCTACCAGCTTGTGCCGCTCTTACATCGTTAGCTTCTTACAGCAGCTGCACTTACTGCAGCACCTGCGTAGCTAGCTTGTTAGCTTCGTCACCGGTGTGCGATGAATCCTGGGAAAGGTTGGCCTGCCAGTTGCTCAGGATCGGTATTTGTCTGTGGAGCGTTTAAAGTGAATTAAAGTAAAAGTGAATTGTTATTATATGAAACAGGATGCTGCTGCACGTACAGTCCGTTTTACATAAACATTCAATATTAACCTCGACCGGTGTCAAACACAAGATTGACCGACATCAAATTCAGCCGATGATCATAAGTATAATTAAAGTGTGTCGTTAACCCCACGAGCCCCAAAGTCCTCGTCCGACCAGACTGAGACACTCTGAGTGACGAACATCATCGACGGCTGAACCGCAGCTCTGATCCCGCAGGGGGCCGGCTACCAGGAATCAGCCCGAGCCGCTCGATGGTTAAATCAATGTGACGCTTCAGTTCTGACCGCCATCTCCCCCCCCCCACCCCCCCCTCTCTCCCTCTCTCCCTCTGCACATTAGGAGTACTATGACAAGGGGGAGTATGTCATCCGGGAGGGCGAGGAGGGCAGCACCTTCTACATCATCGCCCAGGGAAAGGTAATGTGAAAAAAAAACACAAGCACCACAAAGTCCTCTCCGAAACCTCGATGATGTGACCTTCATCTGTTTATTAGAAGCATTCGCTGACTGTGGAAGAGGAAAATGAATATTGAATAGAAGCAGCTGCAGGAAACGTAAGTTCTGATATTTCGTCATCCGTCCCGTCTGCAGACGTTTCAACAACACTGACCCCAGTTCAGTTCCTCAGTTCAGACAAAACTGCAAAATGTCTTTAACGCACTGAAGTGGAAGCAGCTTCAGTCTAAAGGATTTCCCCGTCAGTCAGCGCGAGCGTTGAACGGCTGCAGAGGAAGTGAATGTGCCGCGTGATGGAGGTGAATTAACTGAGTCCAACGCTCATTTCACTTTCCTTCAGTAACAAGGTTTAAACCATAGACTGTACATAAAGAGGTTTAAACAGAATGTTGGGTCAAACTCCGTGTGAGCGTGTGAGGTGTGGGACCCGTCGGCCCGATGAGTCAGCAACCTGACACCGCGGCGCTGAGGGCGATGGAGAGGGGCCAGAGCCGTCCACCGGGGACTTTCAAAATGCCATTACGAGCCAATGTGAGACAGCGGCTCCTCAGCGCCGAGCCAACCGCACCAGAGAGAGACACATGTTGTTTGGGAGGAAGGGGGCTAATACAGGAAATGGCTCCGCTACGCCCCCCCCCCCTCTTGTACCTCCTGACCGGAGAGGGAATAAACTCTGAGAGCGCCTGCCACCAGAAAAAACAAGGGAAGTGAAGGTCACCGAGGTCAAATGTGACACTTAGTTAAAACACACCACCGCGGCTATGATGTCATTGAGGCCTTCCCTCGGCAGGAGG